AATTCAGAAGGGTTGCTAGATGGGGCTCCAGGGGCTTGAGGGTTCTGTAGTTGATGGGTAGTATACATACGGTGCACTAAAGGACTCTCTTTGGAGGGGTCAGAAAAGGGCTCATGGGGCTTATGGGGTTAGGGGAATTGGGCTTAGTCTTGTGCCCGAAACCCTAAACTCTCCACCCCTAAACCCTAAGCCTCTAAACCCTAAACCCTAGTTGGGAGAGGCCATAGGGTCTTAGAGGGTTTGCACTGTGAAAGTTCCGGAGGCAACACATGAGAATCTGGACTCGCAGGCTGTCTGGCTTGCTGCGCGATGTTGTTGCGGAGCCGATGTGGCGGGCGGGAATCTCGATGGAGTGGTCTCCTGGAGCTGTAGGACTTACGATGGCTGTAGTAGACGCTGGGTTTGTGTGCCGTGTCCCAATGGTGGGTATTTGTGCCATAAGAGAATCTAGTAGAGGATTTGAGGTGTGTGTGTGTGTGTGCCCCGCAACCGTAGGGCTTTGCTTTTGGACCTCCATCGTTTGGCGTGTTGGGCTACTGTGGGCATTCACCAAAGCTCCTTGGCGTGATGTGCGTGTTTGTGCTTGTGAGTCTGTGAGAATTGCCCAACTCGTTCGAGCCACTGTTTGAAGGCAGCTATGCCATGAAACTACACGCCCTAAATACTAAACCCTTGGTTCTTAACCCATAAACCCTCCGCGGCCCTGCAAACCCTCCTTAAAGCTTATGGCTTTGCTCAACATAACCCCTGAACCTTACACCCTCAACCCTGTCCCAAATCCGTATGGTAACCTCTATTTACAGTAAGCCTTATGGCAACCCTGTCTTAATAACTTAGCTGAGTGGGTCGAAGCAAACCTTCATCTGTACCTCCAGTTTCATCTTCCACCGCAATATTGATGTGGGTTTAGCGTGTTGCTGCGGTGTTATTAGGGCTTAGGGTTGAAGGTGGAATAAACGTGAAGCCCTTCATAGAACCTCATAAATCCCGAGCACCAGGTCCAAAACGAAACTGGCTCGGACGTCCTGTTTGGTCTGGCTTCAGGCTACCGAGCGGATTAGGACTCAGGGGCTGCTTGAACCGTAAGCCCTGTTGGGGGAGGGGCCATGAGGAATACCCCTCTCCATAAGGAGATCGCAGCCGGAACCACTTCCAATAATATATAGATCGAAGCAATGACCAATAACATGTCCTTCCTGTTCAGCTGGTGAATGCACATTTCGGGTGTTATCATAGGCAAAGTAGGCCTTTCGCTCCATCTACTGTATGCAGCGTGACCGGACCCTTTGTGCTTGAATTGTTTTTGATAAAAACCTGTGGGTCTTACTTAATATAGGGGCCTTAATAATTACCTATAATACTATGTTTGGGGGTCCTAATGATAAGTATATAGTATAATGGGCCCCAAACCCTATTCTAATTTTTACGGCCCCTATATTAAGGGCTACGGCCCGAGCAGCGAGAACAAAAGGGGAGGTAATGTGCATCGAACCTACAACTCCGAGCGCCCTGCCGATGAAACAGATAAAGGCGCAGTAATAGTAAACCAAACCCTAGGCCCAGTACAACATCAAGGCAGCCAAACATCTGAAACACCAACTTCGAGACACAAGCGCACCATCCTACGACGCCCTACTTGTACGACAAAACCCCAAACTCGTTTGGTGCACTGCGCGCGGACCCAAAAAGGAGCCCTCAAAACAGAAAAAACAAACGAAACTCTGAGCCCAAAATGCTGCCGCTGGAGAGGCTCAGGGGCAGAATGCTCTCGTGGCCTTCATCCCGCCGGCGCCTTGAGACACTCCCCCAGAGAGCCCAATACCCCTTAACTAAGGAATATGGCTTAAATTATACGGGGTTTCATACCATGGTTTAAGCTATATTCCTTAATTAAGGGGTATTGGGCTCTCTGGGCCTGGGGTCTTGCTAAGGAATGTAATTTAAGTTACCAGAATTCAAAAAAGGATACACAAGGGTTCTTGTAAGGGAACCATTATTTCCGCCGACTAGAACTCAAAATGCCCAGGCGAGCATCAGATCTAACTCCGACGAGGCTACTGAAACTGAAAGTTGCTCCTAATCAGGACTTATAGCATCCACTAGATCGTACACCCTAAGCCCTGTAAACCCTATACAGTAGAAGCCAGAAAGTTGGAATATCATTATCGTAACCCCTTTAAGGTAAATTATAGGGGATCCTACCATTAATCCATATTCCAACTTTCTGGAGTTCCCTGTAATCCCTAAACCCCTAAACCCTAAGATCCCTTTAAGGAGCCCCTTGGGATCCCTTTACAGTAAGGAGCCCTTTAAAGGAGCCCAAACCCTAAGGGCCCTAGGCTCCCTTTAGACCCTAAGCCCCAGAGCCTCAATCCGAAGCCTCAAATCCCGAACCCAGGACCCGGTAATGGCGGGTTTCCGAATTTAGGAATCGGAAGGCGAAACCCAAGACCACCCCAGAGAGCCCAATACCCCTTAATGAAGGAATATGGCTTAAATTATACGGGGTTTCATACTATGGTTTAAGCTATATTCCTTAATTAAGGGGTATTGGGCTCTCTGGGACAAACAGCCTTGAGCGCTAGGAGCTTCATGGTAGTTATAAGTGGGGGTTATATGTAGAGTATCTATAGTCATTCGGGGTCATATATCCCCGCTTACAACTCCCCATGAACCTTCAGGTAAATACCGATTACAGACTGATAGACCTTGGACCGCAAAGTAGGTACTCTATGGGTGGTTGTCAAAGTTATGGCCCCTTTTTGGGTACCCTAATGAACAGGTGCCGTGTTATAATAAGGAACCAAAAAGGGGCCATAATTTTGAGGACCACCCATATGAGTCACCCTAACCTTGCAGCCGATTAGGGTTTATCGGCTCTACGGTTTACCTTACCTAGAGGATCATACCCTACCCCGTTTTTCGGATACCTAGCTTTATGGTTAGGATCTGTTATCTAGAAAAGTAGGTACCTTAAAAAAGGGGTAGGGTATGAGCCTCTAGGTAACGCCAAAGTAGCTTACCTGATGTCGGAGCCGATAGGAAGTATAGTCCCCTACCCCCCTCCCCACCACCCATCTAAGGGTCCCTATGACCTCCCCAACCCATGCCGGAGCCCAGAGCCTTTTGATGCCAGGTCACACTGCACCGAGCGACCCCTGGTGAAACGTGGTCGACGGCACTAGGCTGGGATTGGTAGCTTTAGGGTTTTGGGCTTTCCTGAATTCCTGGACCCCAGAAGCATGCAGAATGACAGCCTTGTTCGGGGTGTTGGGCCATGAGTGTACGTAGGTTTGGAGGGTTCCGATTGGGTTTGGGGCATAGGGTTTAGGGCGTAGGGGATGTTGTTAGTTACAGACTTCCGGCGCTTTGGTTCGAGAGGGGCTTGTTGCGATATCCTAGTTATGTCGCTCACCGATGATGTTGCTTCATACTTCAAGCTTCCTTTCCATGCAGCCGAGGCATACCATACCCAAGGCCCTGGCTGCGGTCTACATTGTAGTTCGCTTTCTTGGCTCACCAATTTCATAATGTAGGATCCTGCCCGTATAACGGTTGGTTAACCAGAAACAAGGCCTACAATGAAGACGATGGGTATTCTCTAAGAGCAGATTCGCATGTAGCAGACGAGCGAAGCTTTGGCTGCCAACCTGTGAGATTGGGCGAGATCTCCACGAACCCCCAACGATAAACCCACAAAACCCTGACCCCTGAGCTCTAACACCGAAGCCCTTCCCCCGAATCAGCAGTCTGAAACGCTAATTCCAATCGAGCGCCTGCCGAAACCCTAGGACCGACCCTATAAAACCCTAGGGACCGACACCCCGAAGAGTAAACTACCCAAAACCCTGTTATAGATCCCTTAAAGGAACCCCTATAAATCCTGTTAAAGGAACCCTAAACCCTAAACCAAGTTTGAAGCTTGGCTTCCGGCTTTGATTTTCGAACATTGTATTGCACGGTTCAGGGTTTGAAACTATGCAGTAAGCCTGGGGTTCAGCGGTTCAAGGGTTTGCGGTTCGGGGTGTGGGGTTTAGGATGTATAGGGACAACAGATGTGATTTAGAGGCCGACACAACTCCCAATATTGTTTTGGGGTTCCTCATTATAGTTACGGGATCCTATACCCCCAAAACCTTTCAATATGATTAAGGCCCCCATATTAGGGCCGAAGTCTTTACCAACCTTATTCCTTAGACCTGAGATGTTCCAAAACCCGCCTCTATTGAATAAGGTCCGTAACGTATAATTGAAGTCGCAAGTTTACAAACTCCCGGGACCAACACAGGCGAACCAAAGCCCAAACACCCTGGCGCCAAACGGACGTGCCAAGCTCCATACGACATGTGCCAGGTCCCCTTCAGCACGACCCGTCTTTCCCCTTGGTCGTTAGCTTCGGAGTTGGCCCCTCAGCCTCTTTGGGCAACCGGGGGTTTGCCGCAGTGTGTACCGCTGCGGCCATGTATTCTATTCTCTTGCTTCCGAAGCTTCTCCTGCAGCCTGCCTGCGCGTAGCTCAATTTGGAAGTGCACGGTTCAGAAGCCGGATTTGGGTGTTAATGTAGGAACCTGATTAAGAAACCTTGGGTCTTTAATAGGGATCCTTATATGGATCCTATTGTTCGGGGGTATAGGGCCAGGGACATTAGGACTGTTTGGGTTTCGGGTTTAGGCTTAAAAGTTAACTGCAACTGCCGAGGCCGAAAGGGGCGGATGCACATCTTGGACACAGGCCTTCCATCTGCGTGTAGGGGCCTGAATGGTTAGAATAGGGTATGGGGGCCCGTTATGCTATATATACTTAGAAGGACCCAAAATAGTATAGGTGTGTCATTATTGCAAGAACTGCGCACCGGTGATCAGTACGCAGACGTGCTTCTGCATTGCCAGTACTGAAACCCTGCAATCCTTCAAAACATGATCTACAGCCCGCAAACCGACCGCAGCCCCTCTTGCCTACAAGTCTCCTCGTCGCCCAAAAAGACTCCACTCTCCAGAAGAATGGCTTCCGCCGCCCTTGCAGTGCCTGGGGCCTTGTGAATAAACTAAGTGTCAGTTACCACATCAAGGGCATTTAATAGAAAGATTCGCAGGTTGTAGACGTTTCTGGTATAAACGGGTTTACGAGGCATTATGCGGGCCTGTTGTGTTTGTGCACAGGTTTTTGTGCCCCCTAAGCCCAAGGTACTTCGGACACAGTTTCCCTAAGCCCCTATAACCCTCAAGGTGCTCCTCGTTGCCGCCTCCCTGGCCTCGCTCCTGCAGCAGACAGCAGCTGATGGTCTCCGCGGTGATGTGAACAGAACAGCACCGGCGGGGCTCAACTTGCGTCTTGGCTTCCTAGAATGGGGTCTTAAGAATGGTTTCCATGAGCTGTGGGATTGAGGCTTCTTGTAAGGGTTCCTTTAAGTGTTCTATGGGGTTAAGAAGTTTTGGGGGCTAAGGGCAGGGGGCCTGAAGGACGACATGTGCCTCAGGGTTGAAGGGTCACCTACGTTTCAGGTGTTTCTAGTACAGGGCCCCTACTTTTACGGGTCGCTTGATCCTAAAGGTGGGGCCCAGGATGGCCCAGGACAAGAATTTGTTGTGTGGTGGTGATGGTGCGGAATGTAATCCCAACGAGCATCATGAATCCGATAGATAAAGACGTGTGTGTATGTGTATATGTATACCTAAGTGTGTGTGTGTGTGTATTTATATATAGTTATGTTATATAACGAGAGGCAGATGTGCATGCGCATAGTACTTTTTGTCGCATGTTTCTGATGATACTACTTAGCTCATTGACGCACACGTTTATTTGGAGCGGCCTTCTGTGATCCAGTAGAACGTCATCGAAGCCGAGACTAAGATAGTACTCGTACGTCGGTCCTTTATGTCTTGGAAGCACGACAGTTAAGGCTCTCCATGGCGTCCTCGTCGGGTGGTTGCAGCGCTGCGGATGGGGCGCAAATGGCAAAGTTGGGATCAGGAAACGCCGATGGAACCTTCCCCAAGTACCTGGCTGTTTGCGGCAAGCAGAGCTACTTGGCTCTCGAATATCACAGGGCCCTAGAGCCTAAACCCTAGACTCTAAACCCCTACCCCGTCCTGAGCTACTTGTGGCTTTTTGTATGTGAAAACTTTCCCGAAGACCTCGCTGCTGCAGTGCGTCGACCCTTCGTCTTTTATTCGCTCTGATTAGTGTTATTTTTAGTCATTTACGCAATTGTTATCTTTACCATACTACGCAAACCTGCCAATCAATCATGACGAGATTCTAGATCCTGGCGAATGCATAGCGCTTCTGAAGGAAATCAACGCTAAAAAGCTTCAACCCCAGCTACGCCAGACCTGCAGGGTTTGCGGCGGTACAGTGGTTGAGGATAGGCCTTTAGTTCGGCAATTTCAATTTATGGGCCTGGGCGTGCATGTCATCACTGGTAGGGAAATGATGGGAGAACGTGTCAGCAGCCAGTGACCTCTGTGCTGCATGCTGATTGCTGTACACTACGCAGTCTAAGCTGTTCACAGAGCCCAACATCCCTCATTGGCCAGTATGCTTCACATCATAACCACACAGAAGCTTCTGTATGTTGACGGTGTACCCCTTTTGTGTGACCTAAGGACCCTACACAACCAAACTTGAGCCTATATGCCAGCATAGTGACTCCTTCTCTGCGGAGTGCGGGACCCGTATACAACCCTTACAAAAAATCAAACAAACCCTCACAATATGAGAAAATCCATGGGAAAACCCTAGGCCCTAGGCTTGTCTTGTAAAACACAATGCACCGAAACTCCATAACACAGTTCCTCAAACCCTGAACCCTAAAGCCAAACCACAGGCCCCAAGGCCTTTGGGGGTTCACGCGATTGATCTGAGGTTACAACATCTTCTTTGGCTTTAACAGCGGAAAGTTCCTCTCCTGCGTGGAGGGAGACGCCTGGTTCGTTAGTTAAAGAACTATAGAAGCCGGAAAAGTTACACGCCATTCTCCAGGCTTCCTCAGTTTGACAGATTATAACTTACAATACCCACAATTCTAAGTATTCCGGCCCCCAACCCCGCTACTACATAACTAGTTTCGGGGATTACCTGGACCCCAAACGTATGTAGAACAATAGCCTTTTATAGGGTCTGTGCCATTATTTCACCTACTTTGGGGGGTCTAGGTAACATGGAGGGATCCCTGATTTGGAGCGGGGCGAATGGGGTTTAGTGTCGAGGATCCTTCTGCTTAGGGCCTAGGCTAGAGAAGGGCGTGGCCAGGCTAAGGCAGGATTCTGGGAATATTTATTTTCCAAAATATTTCCAGTTTTACATTCAATTTTATTTCCAGCCTTGGGTCTATTTCCAAATAACTTTCCAATAATGATTCAATTTTGTTTCTGGCTTCACGTCAAATTTATTTTCAATTTTGTTTCCAGTTTCTGCGGTTCGGTCACTAATTTTGTAGACAAGGCCAAGGCCAAGGGGAAGAACGGGGCCGGGGTTGGAAAATCTGAAATTTGGAGAGGCCTCGAGAAATATTCAATATTTTTTTCAATTTTGAATTCAATTTTGTTTCCGATTTCTGCGGTTCGGAAGAACGGGGCCGGGGTTTGAACATCGAGAATTCGGAGAGGCGTCGAGAAATATTCAATAATTTTCCTATTGTGTTTTCAATTCTGTTTCCAGTTTCCGGTTCGGGCACTGATTTTGTAGACAAGGCCAAGGGGAAGAACGGGGCCGGGGTTGGAAAATCTGAAATTTGGAGAGGCCTCGAGAAATATTCAATATTTTTTCAATTTTGAATTCAATTTTGTTTCCAATTTCTGCGGTTGGGGCACTGATTTGGTAGACAAGGCCAGTGGAAAAAATGGGGCCGGGGTTGGAAAATCTGAAATTTGGAGAGGCCTCGAGAAATATTCAATATTTTTTCAATTTGAATTCAATTTTGTTTCCAATTTGTGCGGTTGCGGCACTGATTTGGTAGACAAGGCCAAGGGGAAGAATGCGGCCGGGGTTGGAACATCGGAATTTTGGAGAGGCCTCGAGAAATATTCAATATTTTCAATTTTGCTTTCAATTTTGGTTCCGATTTCTGCGGTTCGGAAGAACGGGGCCGGGGTTTGAACATCGAGAAATTAGGGAGGCCTCGAGAAGTATTCAATATTTTTTCAATTGTGGTTTCAATTTTGTTTGCAATTTCTGCGATTCGGGCACTGAGTTGGTAGACAAGGCCAAGGCCAAGGGGAAGAACGGGGCCGGGGTTGGAAAATCTGAAATTTGGAGAGGCCTCGAGAAATATTCAATATTTTTCAATTTTGAATTCAATTGTGTTTCCGATTTCTGCGGTTCGGGCGGGGATGTGGAAGGAACCGCCAGGGTGACCCTGCAAGCCTATCCCGAACTCGTGTTGGAACTACTTTTTGAAAATATTTTGGAAACGGAATTGAATCCTGCATCCCAACTGAATATTTTGCTGAAGTTCCAACTACAAAATAATTACGACCTACAAGCTGGCCCTTAGCCTGGGGCGCCCATCACTAGCCTAGGCTTAGAGCTTGTAGTAGTCTGCCTTAAAATTGTGCTAAATATCGGGGACTTAATAATAATAGTCAGAAAAGGGCTTGGGGGCCCATGATACTTTAAGTATAAGAAGGAACCCTGTTTTACCTTACCATCATAATTACGAGCTTTGCAATGTGGCCACAGAATCCTAAGGGGCTGAAGCTAGCTTGCCGTAATCGCGGGCTAGTAGACTTATCACAGGGGTACTTAGAAATAATGTTGATTTTTTGGTTCCTATATGTAATCCTTAAGAGACAACAAAAATTACAGTTTTTGCTGAAGTGTAGGTTCGGTAGCTTCGATTCTGAACCCGAACCAACCCCGCAGCCGAAAACAACCCAGGACACGGGCATCAGCAGCAGTTGCGCGCAGTGCTTCGTCACGTCGGCGAAGTATGGCGCGGACAATTGCAAGTGGAGCTGCTTCTTTGGCTCCGGGGCCGAGATTTAATGTAGGAGCCTTTAATCTCAGGGTCCAAAGGGACCCACTACTTCAAGGGCTTCTATAAGGGATTTAGAGGATTTTATAGCGGGGTTTTAAGGGTCCAAAGGACCCAATAATTAGGTACTTTGGTTTCGGATAGTAGTTATGCAGGTTACTATTTGGGAGAGTATATGATTAGTAAGTACTTGGACCTTTAGGGTTATTATAACTGTCTGGTGCTTAGTAGGGAATGGGGGAATGGATCCCTATACGAGTTGCTATAAAATCCGCATAACCCATTCCCTACTAAGAAGAACCAGACAGATAAACAGACCAGGTTTTCGCTCCTTCTTATAAATATAAGTTATATTATGCCCCCCCAAAGCCTAGTTTAACTATTATATGGCCCCTGCATTAGGTTTTGAAGGGAAATATCTTGCGTTTTTATCCCAAAACCGTAAGCCTCGACTTTTGACTCCGACATCGGCTCTCTTTTGCACGTAGGGTTCGAGCCAGCCTAGCAGTCCCGAACTGTTTGGGGTTTGTGCTTGCTCGAACTCAGCCATCGGAAAGGGTTTGGGGTTAAGGACGATAAATAGGAAAGTAAGATTTAGGGATTCAGGGTTGTTTCCGGTTTGGGGTCTATGGAGGTTTTTACAGTTTAGAGTCTAGAGTTTAGGCTTTCGCTGAGGCTCTTGGTGCGGTTCCAGCTGTCTCAACTGCGTGGCTTCCGCAAACCAAGAGACGGCCACCTGCGCAGGCGTGCCTGTGCCTACTGCAGCGACTTGCAGGTAAGACGGCCTTTTGAGGAAGCATAGGAAGCCCCTTGTGGGTCTTGACAGGCTTTAGGCTTTGCGCCTTTAGGGTCCTTCTCAACAACCATCCCAAGCTCTTCTTCCATAGCTTCATAATCTGTCTGGCAGACTGATGTGTGACTTGCTTTTGGGATCCTTCTTGGAGGCGTTCGAAATATAATATATGTTTTCCTGTGGAGACCATCGAGATCTTAAGCATCTCAACTTTTGTTCGGCCGGGCTGCCTCACGGCTTGTGCCCGCAAATTCGATGCATGTGTACAGGACTCTACATGGCAAAATCCATCAGATCGTCCGACAGGGCACACGATGGTACAGATCCGTGCCGCGGAGCTTCGAAACATATTAGGGTTTAGGGTTTAGGGTTTAGGAAATCAGATTAGTCTACAGCTTCGGTCGCTGGGAGTATTGACAACTGTTGTCCCGACACAGTGCTGATGCCATATCCCTACAACAAACCAGTCTCGCAACCGTACAGCACACCCCAGTCCTAAGACTCCCTACCTGGACCCCAAAAGTATGTAGAACAATAGCCTTTTATAGGGTCTGGGCAATTATTTCACCTACTTTGGGGGGTCTAGGTAGTGACTAAGTGGAAAACACAGCGGAAGATGGCAGCCGTCTGCGAGACGTAGCCAGAAATTGAAGGAAGTCAAGACCGAGTTCTTTCCGGAGAAGGTTAACGGGTTCAGGGTTAGTTTTTTTTGTTTTGCAGTTCAAAGGTTGGGCTTTATGTATGTGATGCCTTGGAATAATCAGCCTTCAGGACAATAATACCTCACGTTGTAGCAGTAGACCCTGAGTCATGATATGTCTGTTGTAACGCGGTTTGAGATTTTGGAGCATTGGAGGGCCGCAAACTTGGGTTTGCAGGTCGCTTGCCTCGCAAACGTTAGTTCAAGGTTTGCGGTTCAGTGTGAAGGGGATGCACAAGGCACACGTCTAGGCCATACGATTTTCATGTTCTGCATTCAGCCATACATGCATACACGTTTACACACTGCTGTAAGGACCAGTGGCACCAAACGTGGGGTCACAGGTAACCTGATTGGGATTATCCGAAGAAACTTGTTTGAACCCCCCAGATTTAGACCCTTACGGACAGCTGTCCAGGCACCCATAGAACCCTCGACTTTAAACCCTGAAACCTCAACCAAGACACCCAATCACTGGCTCCAAATAGGGTTTAAGCCCATCCAGACATCAAAGAACGTAGACACACAGGCACGAAGAAAAGACTTTTGGAACGCAAGGGTTTTGGAGTTAAAGGTTCTACCTAGGGTATGGGATTTAGGGCCTAGGGTTCCGGTTCAGACTTCCCATCACGATCCCTGCCAGAGTAGGACGCTGTTATCCAAACGGCTGCACCGAGCCGTAAGTACTGTCGCAAATGGGGCCCCTTCACTCCAGAAGGGACCCATAAGCTGCGACCTGGTTGGGCCCAGACCTTCCAAACTCCCTTAATTAAGGAATATACCTTAAATTATAATAGGATCCCTAATAAGAATTAAGGTATATTCCTTAATTAAGGGATTTTGGAAGGTCTGGGTGGTTGGGCATTAGGGTCGACCAACTATTTACCACAATCACACACTCCCCCCGAACCCCATAGCAGAGGCGCCCTGCGTTAGTCCTCATGGCAGGTTCCTGCCACCTGTAGCATGGGACAAACAACCTTGGTGGCCTGCGCCTCAGAATTTCTTCGCTGTTTCTTAAAATTAGGGGTTTTCCAAACCCAAAAAACCTAAAACCCAAAATCCTAAACCCCCATAAGCCCGCGAATCCATATAAACCGGGTCCTGTTTTGGTGGATCGGGGTCTCTATAGCTGAAACTCCCACTGATTCGCCTTCGCCCGGCCTCTTCGGGCGGTGTCCGCATGCCTATCCAGAGCATCGGAAGGATCTACTAAGTAGAACCCTTCATTTGGGGATCTATTATGTATGCTACTTCAAAAGGGTAGTGTATAGGAGCCCCCTTAAGGGATCGACTTTCTGGATGCTAAACATGGGCGTGGGTACCCACGCTTTCATTGTTCGGCCACCCGGCAAACCTAACACTAAACCCAAACCAGCACTACTTGGAGGATCATGGGACTGAGTAAGTAAGGTTAGACATAAGGTAACTGTACTTATAATTACTTATAACTCCAATTAAGGCACTTATAGCCCTACTTACTAAGTCCCACGATCCTCCATGTACTCTGGAGAGCATAGTATGGAGAGTTTGGGTAATCACACTCTAACACCCAACACGCAACCTTGAGATATAAATCAGATGTTCGCTAGGGTTGGGGCTTCGGGATTGCCATTCGGGCTTTGCGGTATAGACTTTTGGTCTTGTGTTTTGACGCATTTTAGTTGCTCGAGAGTTAAGGTGAGTAATTACCTGGGTCTTGCGACACAAACTCAGTATGCAGGATGATGATAGACGGAAAGGCGGCTGAGAATAAATATGGGAGTTTCATGATATCAGAGAGCCAGATCTAGATCCTGAGTTGGTAGCAGCCTGCACATACAGACCTGCAGAAAGTAACCTACTTATCGTTTGCAGGATCTTATTACAAGCCTTTGGGCCTTCCAAGCAGTCTATTTCGGACCCCCCCCCCCCCCCCCGCCCCCAAAGTCGTCACATCGGGGCACAGAATCAGCGACAGATTGTGCGCGTAGTAGGAAATATGCTCATGCTACAACGAACCCTAAAACCTGTTCTGATTGATATAGGGGCTTAAATAATTACCAACACTATTGTGGCGGTTCCTGAATGTAAAGCTATAGTATATCGGGCGCCAAACCCCTATTCCAATCGGGTGGTTGTCAAACTTAGGCTCCCTTTTTGGGTACCCCAAATAATAAGTGCCGTTTTATCTTAAGGACCCAAAGAGGGGACCCTAATTTGGACAACCACTCAACTATAAGGCACCTATACTATTTAACCCCTCCCTTCCTCGCCAGACCCGAAACTCCGAGTCGAGCTGAGGAACTCAGTGACCTCTCTGGCAGCTGCTTCTAGGTGGCACTTTCAGAAATCCTTTAGAAGGGGCCCCCACCCTGTAATAGTGGTATAAGAGGAATAGAATAGGGCCCTAATATCATCCTTGTAGTCACTATTACGGGGTGGGGGCAGCTTCTAAGGAATCCTACTTACAGGGGCAGGGGACTGAGTAAGTTGGTATAAATAGAGTTATAAGTACCCTAAATGGAGTTACCCAATTATAACCCTGCTTATAACCTACTTACTAAGTCCCTGCCCCTCCAAGTAGGGGTCCATTTATCCAAAAAGTACATACTTTGGGCACAATCTACTTATATAGGTAATACAGGGAGTGCTTGAAGGCCACAGTGTATACCATTTGGGCACATGGTCCCTTAGGGAAACTTGCTCAGTTACTGGAAGGTGCCAGATGGTTATCGGTTCATGAAGACAAATGAAGGTAACGCTCTCAGACAATAGTTCACTCCCCCGATGATGCCATACCTTAAGTTTTAGCTGCCCTGCAAATTTGCTATCGATGGACCTATTCATACACCCGAAACCCTAAACCCTAAATGAAGGTGCCAGTTTCAGTTCTGTGAGTCCCCGCCATGGTGTCGTAGAGGTATCTCTTCCTAAATGCTCTGAGGTGCCCTCCCAGTTTGGATACCCTTAAATCAAGGCGGTATGTTTAGATGTGTTTACATTCCGAACTTACGAACTCTTCATCATGCTGATCATCATGCTGATGCGGAGGTACCTGTTTGAGGGCGCACAGATAAACCTGGATGCAAAATGCCTGGGGCATGCTTTTCGCTTGGGTCTTCGACACTTCGACTTCCGCACTACATGACCTGGCTGCCACAAGCGAAAGTCCATTAAACATGTGCATGCTCGTGTAAATGCGAGGGAGACGTCAGGGCAGCAGCAGGATCTGTATGTTCATTGCTGGTTTTGTTTTCACTGTTATTATTATCATCAAGTACTATTGTTATTCCTAGCATTGTGAAGGTTAGTAATAGTATCATTATATGACTAGTGTTACAGAAATGGCAGCCCCAACCTGAATGAAGTCTTGCGCAAGCGGAAGCTGGTACCTCCATACGAAAGCACAGAGGCATCTGCTTCAGGGGCCTTAAGAATTCGAACAGGGCTCCTTTTAAAGGGGCCTACAAGAGTTACGAAAAGGGCTACTATGCATAGTAGCCCTTATAGGTATAAGGGTTTAGTATGGGGGCCTTAATAACTGACAATTCTATTTTGGGGGTTTCTTATTATAAGTCTGGTGTAAGATAAGCCAAAACCCTACTTTCAATGTTGAGGCTCCTATAGTATCTAAAGAGATCGGGGTTGATCTCCTGTCAATGCTTTGCATGGGGAGACGAGGGCAGGAAGTCGTGGGCAATCTGCCTGTTTATGCCAGCCCCAGCACTGTATGCCAAAGGTTAGTTGAACCTGTGAGGTCTGTTCACGCTACTATAGGGTCCTTAATAGTTGGAATAGGGTTTCGGGGTATATGATACTGTAATTATAACGATAGGGAACTCCCAAAATAGTATTGGTAATTATCTAGGCCCCAGTATTATCACGGTTGGCCAATGGATGCCCTGAAGAACGGATGATGTCTGGGAGGACCTTGTCACGGTTGACCCATGGATGCTCAGGCAAACGGACTACGTCTGGGTGGACGTTGACTATCATGGTTGGCCCATGGAAGCTCTGTGGAACGGATGATGTCTTGGTGGACGTTATCATGCTGGGGTGATGGCTGCGCAACCAGTTTCTCTACATGCCTGCTTGTTTTTTTGGAGCCTGGAACTTGGCTGATGCTTGCAGCAACTTCAGTTTTCACTTATGGTGCTGTATCGGTCCCCGCCTACCTATGTAAACCCTCAACCACCCCTGCTTCTTCGCTTATGGTGCTATAGACCCTAAATCCAAAATCCCTTAACCTAAACCGCAGGGGCCCTTACCTTACTACCCAGGCTTCGTGCTGCTTGTGAGTGTCA